CCCTACCAAAAAACAAATCCCCTTCGGACAGCGCAGGACCCCCAGTCACAGGGGCTTCGACCCCAGGTCCCAGATCACCCTGCCTCCCCAAACCGTTAATGACCTCCAATCAGTACCCAGAGATTCCTGGCGCTCAGCCTGGATGCCCGCACCCCCAGCCTCCCAGCGGCCTCTCCTCCCTCAGCTCAGCCCTGCCGGGAGGGTGGCATAAAGGAGCGCCGGGCGGCCGCCCACTCTCTCCAGTGGCTGCAGCTGGGATGCATCCTGCAGGGGCGGAGGGCAGCAGCCATGGTGCAGAGAGCAGCCTCCATTCCCGGCGGCCACGCAGGTAGGGGTCTCGTCTTAGGGAAACGGGCATGCGGGGAGGTCCTCTGGGGTGCTGTCTGGCCTCGGAGAGCCCAGTCTCAGAATTTGGGGTGCATCTGGGGAGGAGGGTGTCTTTGCTCCCTGCTGCAGAGTCAGAAGACTCTAGAGATGCCCATGCCTCATGGTCCGGAAGAGGAGACAGCCCAGCATGGGCAGAGCGCACCTCTAGGGTACCCAGTGTGCAGGGCCTCCCTACTCACCTCCTCTCTCTTCCACCTCACAAAGCTTACTCCACCCGGAAACACCGGACAGCTGCAGGAGGGGCCATCTGCTCCCCTGGGTCAGCTCTGGAGCCACAGCACTTAGCACCTGCGGCCAGGGGTCCCAAATGTTTGCCTGAAACATTTTGGGGGAAACATTGTATCATCAGAGAGTTATTCCTTGGTCTGTACCTGCTACTATCAGGGCACTGCACTCCCTGGGCCTTCGCTCAGACTTTCGCACCTTGGCACCAATTATTTTGGCAAAAGCTGGAGGTGGTCAGTTCTCCCCGGAGGACTGAAGTCTGGGTAAACGAAGGGTAACTGTATGGTTGGGGGACTCTGGGTGAAGTGGCCAGGCAGGGAAGAAAGGCAGCCAGGTAGTGACAGAGGTACCCCACACCCCTGTGCCTCAGAAAAAAGGATTTAACTAAAGGAGATTTTCAGTTCCTTCCTGCGCTGGGCCAGGGCCGGGTCAGCCCAGGCTAAATTTGGGCTCTGACTGCAAAGATAAGGGGCTATTTCCAAGACCCACCCAGCTCTTCCTCTCCCGTCCACATCTGGCTCAGGGCTCTCCCCAGGCCCACTTCCTGGAGTCCGGGCTCCAGAGGCACCTTGCTGCCACCTCCCAGGTCACCTGTGACCTCCAACCTCCATCCCTTGACCCCTTAGCCCTTGGTTCAGACCTGGGCCTGAGAAACTCCCGGACTCCAGCAACCCAGCCCCCAGCAGACAATTGTGGTTAATGAGGCGTCACTTTGCAGATGGATGGGGTACACCTGCCTGGGGCCCTAGCCCTTGTTTGTTTCCATGACAGCCCTCTTCTCTGCCCGCACCTGTCTTGTTTATTTGTGCTCTTGCCACAGGGCCTGGACTAGGGGAGGCAAGCGAGGGGTCCTGCAAGATTGGAGTCTTTATTTAAAAATTCAACATTTTGTTTACCGTGGATTTTTTTGCCTTAATTTTGCCCAAGTCAGGCATGGTGACACACACCTGCAATCCCAGCACTCTAGGAGGCTGAGGTGGGAGGATCGCCATGTGTAGTCCAGCCTGGGCAATTTAGCAACTTAGCGAGTCTCCATCTCAAAAAAAAGAAAGCCTGCGAATATCGCCCAGAGCAAAGTACCTCCCCTCAGAATGCCCCTAAGTGTTATTTCTTTGGGTTACTTAGTGTTCAGGGCCCCAAGATGTGGTGCCCACCACTAGTACCTCACCACCTGCCTGCGTCTGGCCCTGGTTTCTCAGGGTCGGCTCCCTGCCTCCTCTGAGGTCCTGAGACTGAGGACATCCTTGTCTCCTCTGCCTGCTCGCTCCCAGCACCGGCCTGGGCACTCTGGGGCCAGCTGAGATGCCCTGACCAGGCCGGTCTGTGTGCCCAAGGGATGAGGATCCAGCCTCTGCCCCAGCTCCCCTGGCCACGGCACATGTGCCCACACCCCTGGGCAAGGCAGGGCATGACGGGTGCAGAGTTTCTCCAATTTGAGCCTGGCCCTGGCCCCTGACCTAGGCCTGGGTGCTCAATACCAGGTGCTTAATTAATGTTACCAGCTTGGCCTCCTCCCCCTGTGTTTGTTTGTTTGCTTGTTTTTACAGTACTGGAGATGGAACTCAGGGCCTTTGTTATAAAGAATCCATTTGTCAAAAAAAAAAAGGCCTTTGAAAGGAAAGTTTATTCCAGTGAACAGGCACTAAAATCAGGCAATTCTGGCAGCTAGCTGGGAAAAGCCAGGTTTATCACATCCATGTGTGGACGGGCTGACATTGGGAGAGAGACAGCAGCAGCCAGCTGGGAGGGATGGGCTGACACCAGGGGAGAGAGATATCAGCAATTAACGGGGAAAGGAATTAGGTTTCTATAGGTACTGAAGGGGCTAAGAAATTTGGGGTGAGATGTTTATGACCTGGTGCACAAGGACGGTCTGCTCAGATGTGTACACAATCATGGGACTTCTCAGTGCCAGGGAGTGGTATACTTCATTGTGAGTCCATTTGCCCTTTTTACTGAGATACTGCTGTTTGCTGAAAGCAGCCTGTTTGCTTTGTCCTGTTTGTTTAGGCCAAGCTTGACAGGCTTCACACTGAGCTACATCCCTGACCCTTTTTAAAAATTTTTTATTCTGAGACAGGGCCTCACTAAGTCACAAAGTTGCCTAGGGTGGACTGGATTTTGCAATCCTCCTCTGCCTCAGCCTCCCTGAGTGCTGGGATTACAGGTGTGGGTCACCACATCCGGTTCTTCCCACTTGTTACCTCCCACCCTGACCCTCAAATGCCTGTGGACCACGGTGCTGATGAGCAGCAATGCAGTGCACGCTGACACACCAGCTGCCTTACACACTGGTCTCATTTCAGTGGGACACGGCCCGTGACGTAGGTTCTGTTTTTCCTGGCAAGGAAGCCGAGGCACAGAAAGGTTCAAGAATTTGTCCAACCTCACCAGAGCAGGCAGAAATGGCTCTGCACTTCAAGGAGGGCGCTCTGACCATGCAGGTCTGTGCCCGTGAAGCCAGCCTCCCCTCAGACTCTATACTGGAGGAAATATATCAGGAGCTGCTCCTGTAATCCCAGTACTCTGGGAGGCTGAGGCAGGAGGATTCCAAGTTTGAGCCCAGCCTGGGCAACTTAGTGACACCCTGTCTCCAAATAAAAAACTTAAAAAGAGCTGGGAATGTGGCTCAGTAGAAACACTCCATCCCCAGCAACCCCCCACAAAAAAAGCAAAGGCAGACGTGCAACCGGCTGGGCCTGCGTCAGCCCATCCTTAGGAATGTGGTCCTCAGGACTCATTGCTGGAGACTGAGTGGCCACTTTGTGCCCGACAGAGAGGTGCCCAGAGTCTGCAAGTACTTCCAGCGTGGCCTCTGCTTCCATGGAGACAGATGCAGGTAGGCGCCTCTCTCCCCGGCCGGGAGGGTGCAGGTAATGCCGGGCAGGGGTCATCTGTGTCCTCGCCCTTCTGTCCCTGCAGCTATCAGCACCTGGTGCCCGCCAGTCCCCTGGAGTGGGGCCGCCGCTATTCCGAGCCACTTGTGGCTGTGCCGGGCCAGTGGCCAGGCCTGACCCGCAGGGCCTCCGAGCCCACTTTCCCACACCCCATAGTTGTGGAGTGGGGCCAGGCCTGGCTAGGGGCCCACTGGGGCATGGAGCTTGGCCTGGAGGAGGCTGGAGGCAGCTCTTGGAGGTCCCCATCTTCATCGCGTGAGTCCCCAGGGCCTGCGGGCGGGCACGGGTCGGAGCGCGGATGCCAATCTCCCTTCCACGCCTCCCGCCTCAGGCACTCAGTGGAGGGGAGTTTTCCTTTCTCCCTGTTGCTCCGTTGTGTTTTAGAAGCAAAAACATGCAGCACCTGTGGAGCCAAGGGCGCCTGGTTTCCAAAGGGATCTGTTTATCTCAGACAAGTCACTTAAGCTCCGTTTCCTCATTTATGAAAGGCACTGTCATCTGTAAATCTGTACAATGACAAAAGAAAGGTGGGGGATGTAGCTCAGTGGTGCCACCACCTGCTTCACAAGCATAAGGTCCCGAGTTCGATTCCCAGTACCAAAAAAAACAAAACAAAACAAAAAAACCAGACATTGACAACAGCACCTGCCTCTCATTTCAGGGGTGTGATGGCTTCACACATGTGACATGCTTAGTGACTGGCACTGAGTAAAGGACTAGCTATGTGGCCCAGGCTGGCCTGGAATTCACAGCAGTCCTCCTGCCTCAGCCTCCTGAGTGCTGGGGTCACAAGAGTGTGCCACTACGCCCATTGTTTTGTAATTTAAAACTTTCTAGTAGCCATATTTTTAAAAAAGGTAAAAGCAGGGCCGGGGATTTAGCTCAGTGGTTCCACTGCCTGCCTTGCAAGTGGTAAGTTCCCAAGTTCGATTCCTGGTACCAAAAAAGAAAAATAAATAAATAAAATAAAAAAAGGTTAAAGCAACTTTTAAAGAAATTGACTTCAACTTTTTTGAAGTTAATTTTATTATCTTATTTACCCCAGCATATAAAAAATTATAGGACCAGGGGATTCGCCCAGTGGTTCTGCGCCTGCCCAGCAAGCACAAGGTCCCGAGTTTGATCCCTGGTACCAAAAAAATAAATTTAAAAAAATCAAAAATTATATATCCAGGGCCAGGGATTTAGCAAAGTGGTTCCACTGCCTGCCTCACACGCACAAGGTCCTGAGTTTGCTCCCCGGTATCAAAAACCAAAACCAAAACCAAAAATTATATATCCAATATTGTCAAAATTATTATTTCAACTTGCCACTGATATAAAATGTTACTAGAGGAATATTTTGGTCTTTTGTTGTGCTGTTTCAGAATCCCACGTGTTTTTCACTCAGGGCACCTGTCAATTGGGACTAGACCCATTCTGGTCCTCAGTAGCTATATGTGAGTTGGGTGTGGTGACGCCCACCTGTGACCTGAACACTCCAGGAGGCTGAGGCAGGCGGACGCCAAGTTTGAGCCTGGCCTGGGCAATGTTAGCAACTTAGTGAAACCCTGTCTCAAAATAAAAAAGGGGCTGGGGATGTTGCTTAATATAAAGGCCGTTCAGTCTCCATTATTGAAAAAAAAAAAAAAACAAGCAAACTACATGCAAGTGGCTGTGAGGTATTGGACAGCACAGGTCTAAATGCTCCTGTGGGAGCCTTAAAATCCTGAGCCGTGTGGGGCAGCCCTGGGGCCCCACGGGCGACATATCACAGATCAGTTTCCCTCGCAGCGGCTGCCTGGGAGCACAGCCCCGCCGAGAAGCCTCCACTCGCGGCCGACCTTGTCCAGGAGCTCTCGGGCGCCCTTCAGAGCCTGGACCTGGCAGAGGTACCATGCCGGGAGGGCGGGCTGGGTCTGGGGCCGTGGCGGGAGGTGTCCGACCCGCCCTGTGGCTGCAGGGCTCGCACGACAGCGACAGCCGGGACGTGGTGTGCGGCATCTGCAGGGAGAGAGTGTGGGACAAGCCCGCGGCCG